TCATGCCTAGGTGAGACGTCTTCTGTTTTGTAATAAAGGCTTTATATTTTTTCTTTTTCTCATTGAATCATGATTATTGACAGCCTTTGGTTTAAATGAAGACTGCGTCTGAGCATGTTCCGGGAGTTGGTGGGCCCCTGCCCCCTTCCCAGCCTCCATGGGCCGAGGCGGGGCTCTAGTGCCCACACGCACCCCATTTAATCTAGAGCGTCAGAGACACTGGTGCCGACACTTGTCAGACCCGCCTCCCTCTGCTGCCCCTCCTCCCACCTGCCCTTTCATCTGCGACCTTCTAATGGTGGCGCTCAAGGCCTCCAGTGTCCTGAGCAGCTGGGGTCTCAGGCCCTGGGTGCAGGCAGCCAGTAGGGACGCCCCCAGACCTGCTCTACTGATCGCTAGGACTGTTCTTTAATTCTCAGTGACTGTCCTGCCAGTGAAGGGTGGTTCCACTGTGGGGTCTGGTGCAGCTATTAAAGTCAGAGGTACTGTTCTCTGAATGGGCAGGGTGTGGGGTCTGGACCCCCTAGTGCGCGGGAACTGGTCCATGAGGAGAGTGGCTCTAGTGGGATTTTATATTTAGGAAGTTTCATATCCCTCTGCTACCTACTGCCTGCTGCATCTTCTACTGGACTTTGTGATTTCCTTTTAAAATGCAAATTCATTCTTCAGTGTGTGCTGGATGGTCCATGTGCCTCTTTCCCACGGAGGCTCTGAAGCCATGCAGGAAGCCATTCACTGCATCCTCAGGCAAGCCCTGAGGGACCTCTTCCGTCTGGGAGGGTCTGACCATGCAGGCTTGCATCTGGCACCCTGGAGCACCCGCCCAGGAAGGGAAGGGGATCAGAGACCCCCAGAGTGGCACTCAGTGCCTGCTCATGGCCCGGGAGGGTGTGTGCAGATGAGCAAAGGCCAGCACAGGTGCGGGCTGTGGGGGTGGGGCACTGAGGTCGGTCATGGGGGTGCGGGTGTGGCTTAGGCGGGCAGCCAGTGGGAGAAGCTGCCTGAGACACCTCAGCCTCCCAGTGGAGCCCAGGAGGTTCTGTGGTGGCTAGTGAGCCAGGTGCTGGCGTGCAGGGTGCATGCATCTCCGGATCGCATGCTTTTTCGACTGTGTCAAACATAATGAAGCTGCTTCTGGAAGTCTCATTACTGAAATTCTGCCCTATAAATATATAATGCAGTTTCACACTCCCTTTATTTATTCATATTCTGCTTATTGATGGTCTGGTGACGGTAGTAATAGTGATCATGCAGCAATGGGTGGTGGTGGGCATGCCCCCTTTCCATCCTTGCTTTTGGGTATACTGGTTGACATCTGACTTCTTCTGAAGCCACAGAGGTGCTGTCACCCGGCATGACTGGGGACACCGAGCTTCCTGTTTTAAGTAGCAGTTCTGGCTGGAATGTTTGGACAGTGTTGGGCCAGCAGCGAAAAGGAGGGCGTGCGAGTGGAAGCGCATGCAGACCTGTGTGTGTGATGGGCACACATGTATGCAGCAAGTATATATTAGCTTTAACACATACGTGGGTGGAGGTAAACATGTTTTCATCTCTTTCAGAGGCCTGTGGGAAGAAATAGAGTAGCGTTTAGTCTCCTGTGGGCACTGAGAGATTAAGACCCCTTATGGGTCCTAGGGATTCAAATCCTGCAGAGGCAGCAAGCCCGCTCCTGAAGCTGTGCCCTCGGGCGCCTGCCTTCCTCTGGGGGACTGTCCTGCCCCACCGGCTGCTGGCTGCCCCTGCACAGCTCCCCACCTCCCCCTCAAGCTTTCTGCAGGCTTCCTCCAGCCCTGGGGACCCACCCACTGCAGGCGGGCCGCATGCACACCCATCCCAGGATTTTGCTGTTGGGCAGGGCCTCAGTAACTCCTGCGCCACCCATGGAAGTGCCTCGCTGGCTACTGACTACTGGTTTGGCTTTCGGAGACTGGCCTGATTGTTAAACCTCCAGTGGTGGTGGTGGTGTGCAAAGTGGCAGTGAGTGAGGGCGTCGGTGGGCGGGGCCCTGGGAGGCCAAGGCCGTGCCCTCCCTGCGGCCTGGCACTGGGACCGTGAGCTGGGCAGGCACATGGTTGGCTGGGCGACACGGGCGCCAGGCCTGGTCTCCCAACAGTGGGAGGGGCCCCAGCTGCTCATCAGCTTCTGTTCCCCAGAGGCCGACTGTCCCTTCTGCTCTCAGGACTTAGTCTCCCCTGGGGCTTTTTGGTATCCTGCACAGGTTTTGAGCATCTGGGACCCTGACACTCTCTGGAGGTGCCCTCACAATGCCTGGGGTCAAGGGCGGGCAGGCCTGTGTGCTGTCCCCAGGCTACCTTCACGGAGCCTGCAAGAAGGAAGGAAGGAAGGCGAACAACATTTTTATGGGGGTTCAGAACAGTAGAAGCAGGGCCTTGTTGGCTGCTGCTTCAGGAGGCGGTGACAGTGGCTTCCCACCCACGGGGCTGCTAGACGCTCTGTTGGTGAATATGGTGGAGTCTGTGCCAGCCCCTTGAGACCCTGGGTTTCCTGGGCTTGATCCACGGGGGGTTCTGGGCCATGGCTCAGCCGAACATGGCATCTTGAGGGCGGTGTCTGCACTGCAGAGGGTGTAGGATTTCCACGTGTGTGTTTCCATTATTTAGAGACCTTAAAACACTCATCTATAGGCGCACAATGATAAGGTTCCAGGGTGGTGCAGAAAGCCTACAAATAGGAAACCTGGAAGTGTGGCTTTTCTGTTAAAAATTACCAATCACATGAGTAATAATTTAAAAAAATACTTCATTGAAGTTATAATTAACACATAGTGATTCTTACATGCAGCTGTGCATCAATGTCAGTAACTTTTTTTATTCAGGTATCATTGATATACACTCTTATGAAGGTTTCACATGGAAACACAATGTGGTTACTACATTCACCCATATTATCGGGCCCCCCTCCCATTCCCCAGTGCAGTCACTGTCCATCAGTGCAGTAAGATGCCAGAATCCCTATTTGCCTCCTCCGTGCTGCACTGCCTTCCCCATGATCCCCCCACACCAAGTGTGCCAATCATAACACCCCTCGATCCCCTTCTCCCTCCCTCCCCACCCACCCTCCCCCAACCCTCCCCTTTGGTAACCACTAGTTCCTTCTTGGAGTCTGTGAGTCTGCTGCTGTTTTATTCCTTCAGTTTTTCTTTGTT